ACCCACCACCCCTCACCCACCCACCCACTCACCCACCCCACTCCACCCACTCACCCACCACCCACTCACTCACTCACCCACTCACTCACCCACCACTCCCCACCCACCCCACCCACTCACCCACCCACCCACTCACCCTCACCCACCCATCACCCACCACCACCTCACCCCTACCCACCCACCCACCCACTCCCACCCACCCCACTCACTCACCCACCCCACTCACCCACCCACCCACTCACCCACCCACCCACTCACCCACCCACCCACTCACCCACCCACCATCACCCACCACCCACCCACTCACCCCCCACCCCACTCACTCACCCACTCACCCCACCCACCCACCCACCCACTCACCCACCCACCCACCCACGCATCACCCACGCACGCACCCACTCACCCACCCACCCACTCACCCACTCCCGCACCCACTCACTCACCCACCCACTCACCCACCCACCCACCCACCCACTCACTCACTCACTCACCCACTCACCACACACCACCCACGCACCCACCCACCCACTCACCACCCATCACCCACCCACTCACCCACTCACCCACCCACTCACCCACCCACTCACCACCCCACCCACCCACTCACCCACCCACCACCACCTCACCCACCACCCACTCACCCATTCACCCACTCACCCACCCACCCACCACCCCACCCACCCACTCACCCAACCCACCCACCCAACTCACCCACCCACTACACCACTCACCTCACTCACCACCACTCACCCACTCACCCACTCACCCACTCACCCACTCACCCACCCACTCACCCACCCACCACCACTCACCCACCCACTCACTAACCCACCCACGCACCCACTCACCCACCCACCCACCCACTCACCCACTCACCCACCCACTCACCCACACACCCACCCACCCACCACCCACACGCACGCACCCACCCACCACTCACCCCACCACTCCCGCACCCACCCACTCAACACCCACTCACACCCCACCCACCCACTCACCCACCCACCCACGCACGCACCCACTCACCCACCCACCACCCACTCACCCACCAACCCACCCACTAACCCACCGACGCCCTACCCACCACTCACCCACCCAGCACCCACCACTCACCACCCACTCACCACCCACCCATCACCCACCCACTCACCACCATCACCCACCCACCCACGCACCCACCACCGACTCACCCACCCACCCACTGCACCCCACCCACCTACTCACCCACCCACCCACTCACCCACCCACTCACCCACCCACGCCCTCACCCACCCACCACTCACCCATCACCCACTCACCCACCCACGCACCCACTCACCCACCCACCCACTCACCCACTCCTCACCCACTCACTCACCCACCCACTCACCACCCACCCACCCACTCACCCACCCACCCACCCCACTCACTCACTCACCCACTCACACCTCACCCACACCACACCCCTCCCCCACCACCCCCCCCCACTCCCTCACCCACTCACCCCCTCACCCACCCACCCACTCACTCACCCACCCACTCACCCACCCACCCACTCACCCACCCACCCACTCACCACCCACTCACCCACGCACCCACCCACCCACTCACGCACCCACTCACCCACCCACTACCACCCACTCACCCACCCACCCACCCACTCACTCACCCACTCACTCACCCACTCACCCACCCACCCACTCACACCCCGCACCCACTCACTCACCCACCCACTCCACCCACCCACCCACCCACCCACTCACTCCCACTCACCCATCACCACCTCACCCACCCACCACCAACCACCCACGCACCCACCCACTCACCCACCCACTCACCCACCCACCACCCACTCACCCACCCACTCCACCCACCCACCACTCACCCACACCACACCACCCACTCACCACCTCACCCACCCACCCACTCACCCACCCACTCACCCACCCACCCACTCACCCCACCACCGCACTCACCCACCCACCCACCACACCACCCACTCACCCACTCACGCACCCACTCACCCACCCACGCACCCACTCACCCACTCACCCACTCACCACCCACCACCCACCCACCCCACCCACTCACCCACTCACCCACCCACGCACTAACCCACCACCACCCAGCACCCACCCACCCACCCACACCCACTCACCCACCCACTCACCCACTCCCCACCCACCCATCACCCACCCACTCACTCACCCAACCACTCACACCCACTCACTCCCTCACCCACCCACTCACACACCCACTCACACCCACCCACCCCACTCCCCACCCACCCACTCACTCACCCACTCACCCACCCACCCACCCACTCACCACTCACCCACTCACCCACCCACCCACCCACTCACCACCCACTCACCCCTCACCCACCCACTCACCCACCTAGCACCCACCCACCACCCACCCACTCACCCACCCACCCACGCACCCGACCCACCTACTCACCACCCACCCACTCACCCACCCACTCACCCACCCACTCACCCACCCACTCCCTCCACCCACCCACCCACTCCCTCACCCACCCACTCACCCACTCTCTAACCAACTCACCCACTCACCCACTCACCCACCAACCCACCCACTAACCCACGATCCCGCACCCACCCACTCACCCACCCACACCCACTCACCCACCCACTCACCACCCACTCACCCACCCACTCACCCACCCACTCACCACCCACCCACCTCACCCACCCACCTACTCACACACCCACCCACTCACCCACCACCTACTCACCCACCCACCCACCACCCACCCACTCACCCACCCACTCCCTCACCCACCCACTCACCCACTCACCCACACCCACCCACTCACCCACCCACCCACTCACCCACTCCCTCACCCACTCACTCACCCACTCACTCACCCACCCACTCACCCACCCACCCACCCACTCACCCACCCACCCACTCACTCACTCACCCACTCAACCCACCTCACCCACCCACCCACTCACTCACTCACCCACCCACCCACTCACTCACTCACCCACTCACCACCTCACCCACCCACCCACTCACCCACCCACTCACCCACTCACCCACCCACTCACCCACTCACCCACCCACTCACTCACCCACTCACCCACCCACTCACCCACCCACCCACCCACCCACTCACTCACCCACTCACTCACACACTCACCCACTCACTCACCCACCCACTCACTCACCCACTCACCCACCCACCCACTCACCCACCCACCCACTCACTCACCCACTCACCACTCACCCACCCACTCACCCACCCCACCCACCCACTCACCCACCCACTCACTCACTCACCCACCCACTCACCCACTCACTCACACACCCACTCACCCACTCACCCACCCACTCACACACCCACCCACTCACTCACCCACTCACCCACCCACTCACTCACCCCACTCACTCACTCACCCACCCACCTCACTCACCCACTCACCCACCCACTCACCCCACCCACTCACCACACCCACTCCACCCACCCACTCACCCACCCACTCACTCACCCACCCACTCACACCACCCACCCACTCACTCACCCACTCACCCACCCACTCACCCACTCACCCACCCACCCACCCACCCACTCACCCACCCACCCACTCACCCACCCACCCACTCACCCACCACCCACTCACCCACCACCCACTCACCCACCCACCCACTCACCCACTCACCCACCCACTCACCCACCCACTCACTCACCCCATCTCACTCACCACCCACCCACCCAATCACCCACCCACCCACTCACCCACTCACCCACTCACCCACCCACTCACCCACTCACCCACTCACTCACCCACCCACTCACTCACCACCCACACACTCACTCACCCACTCACTCACTCACTCACCAACCACTCACCCACTCACTCACCCACTCACCCACCCACCCACCCACTCACCCACCCACCCACTCACTCACCCACTCATCCACCCACCCACTCACCCACCCACTCACCCACCCACTCACCCACCCACTCACTCACCCACTCACTCCCTCACCCACTCACCCACTCACTCCCTCACCCACCCACCCACTCACCCACCCACCCACTCACCCACTCACCCACCCACTCACCCACCCACCCACTCACCACCTCACCCACTCACCCACTCACCCACCCACCCACTCACCCACTCACCCACCCACTCACTCACCCACTCACCCACCCACTCACTCCCTCACCCACCCACTCACTCACCCACCCACCCACTCACCCACCCACCCACTCACCCACCCACCCACCCACTCACCCACCCACTCACCCACTCACCCACCCACTCACCCACCCACTCACCCACCCACTCACTCACCCACCCACCCACTCCCTCACCCACCCACTCACTCACCCACTCCCTCACCCACCCACCCACTCACCCACTCACTCACCCACTCCCTCACCCACCCACTCACTCACTCACCCACCCACCCACCCACTCACCCACCCACCCACCCACTCACTCACCCACCCACCCACCCACTCACCCACCCACTCACCCACTCCTCACCTCACCCACTCACTCACCCACTCACCCACCCACTCACCCACCCACCCACTCACCCACCCACCCACCCACTCACTCACCCACTCACCCACCCACTCACCCACCCACCCACCCACTCACCCACCCACTCACCCACCCACCCACCCACTCACTCCCTCACCCACCCACCCACTCACCCCACCCACCCACCCACTCACCCACCCACTCACTCAACCACTCACTCACTCACCCACCCACCCACCCACTCACCCACCCACTCACCCACCCACTCACCCACTCACCCACTCACTCACTCCCTCACCCACCCACCCACTCACCCACTCCCTCACCCACTCACCCACTCACCCACCCACTCACTCACCCACTCACTCACTCACCCACCCACCCACCCACTCACCCACCCACCCACCCACTCACCCACCCACCCACCCACCCACTCACCCACTCACCCACCCACCCACTCACCCACCCACCCACCCACTCACCCACCCACCCACCCACTCACCAGCTTTGCCCCCTTCTTGCGGCCTAGCGGCAGTGCGTAGTGAGCCTCGTACCACTGTCGGTACGGTCCGCTGTCGATCTGCACGATGCAGTTCTTGACGAGCGTCTTGGTGCGAACGAGCTCGTTGTTGGACGCGTTGTACACCACGTCGATGATGCGCGACTTGCGGGTGCAGCCTGCACGGACACACAGACACACACACACATATATATACACACATACACATATACATACACACAGATACACACACAGATACACACACAGATACATATATACACACATACACACATATATATATACATACACACATATATATACATACACACATACACACACATATATATATACATACACACACAGACACACACACACAGTCACACACACACACATATATACATACACACAGTGACACACACACACATATATATACATACACACACAGAGACACACACACACAGTTACATACACACAGTGACACACACACACAGTGACACACACACACAGTGACACACACACATACACACAGTGACACACACACAGTGACACACAGAGACACACACACATATACATACATATACACAGTGACACACACACAGTGACACACACAGTGACACACAGTGACACACACACACAGTGACACACACAGAGACACACACACATATACATACATACATACACACAGTGACACACACACATACACACAGTGACACACACACACAGAGACACACACACATATACATACATATACACACAGTTACACACACAGAGACACACACACACATATACATACATACACACAGTGACACACACACACAGTGACACACACACATACACACAGTGACACACACACACAGTGACACACACAGAGACACACACACATATACATACATATACACACAGTGACACACACACATATATATACATACACACACAGTTACACACATACATATATATACATACACATATATACACAGTTACACACACAGATACACACACAGATACATATATACACACATACATACACATATATATATACATATACACACACAGTGACACACAGAGACACACATATACATACACAGTTACACACACAGAGAGACACACACATATATACATACACACAGTTACACACACAGAGACACACACACATATATATACACACACACAGTTACACACACACAGAGACACACACATACATATATACATACACACATACACACAGTGACACACACATACATATATACATACACACAGTTACACACACACAGTGACACACACATATATATACATAAACACACACAGTTACACACACACAGTTACACACACATACATATATATACATACACACATACACACAGTGACACACACAGAGATACACACAGACACACACACACATACACAGTCACACACACACACATATATATACATACACACATACACACACATATATATATACATATACACACACAGTGACACACACAGAGACACACACATACATATACATACACACAGTTACACACACACAGAGACACACACATACATATACATACACACAGTTACACACACACACAGTCACACACACACATACATATATACATACACACAGTTACACACACACACAGTCTCACACACACATACATATATACATACACACACACAGTTACACACACAGACACACACATATATACATACACATACACACAGTGACACACACACACAGTGACACACACATATATACACACACACACATACATATACACACACAGTTACACACACACACAGTTACACACACACACAGACACACACAAACACAGTCACACACACACAGACATATATATACATACACACACACACAGTGACACACACAGAGATACACACAGACACACACACACAGACACACACACACACAGACACATACACAGTCACACACACACAGACATATATATACATACATACACACAGTCACACACACACAGTCACACACACAGTGACACACAGATACACTCACACACAGATACACACACACATAGACACACACACACACACATTGACACACACACACAGTGACACACACACACACACAGTGACACACACACACACACAGTGACACACACATATACACACACACAGACATATATATACATACATACACACACAAATACACACACACAGTTACACACACACAGTCACATACATACACACACACAGAAACACACAGACACACACACACATATATACATACACACACACACAGATACACACAGAAACACAGACACACACACACATATATACATACACACACACAAACACACAAATACACACACAGTTACACACACAGTTACACACGGTGACACAAAGATCCCCCATATAGCCTTAACGGACTGTAGGGGCAAGTGCTGTTAGCGAGCACCTATGAAGGCCGGAACGGTACACGAGGGGGTGGGTGGCCAGCACCACGCCCGACCGCCTTTGTCTCCCTAGTGGCAATGTTTACTACATACCGCACCAGGTACTCATTTGAGGCTGAGTCGACCTAGGGGAGGCCCGGGACCGGTTCAGATAATCGTCACTGGTGTTGGCCGTGAGCGGGAATCGAACCCGGGTCGCCAGGTTCATAGCGCAGCGTAGCGCTAACCACTACACTATCGCTCCCCACACACACACACAGTTACACACACGCACACACACCCGTAGACACACACACGCACACACGCATATACACACAGACACACAGAGACACACACATACACACAGACACACACAAGCACACACAGACACAGAGACACACAGAGACACACACATACACACACATACATACACACACGGACACAGAGACACACACACATACAGACAGTGCTTGAGTGGGTGAGTGGTGAGTGAGAGTGAGTGGTGAGTGAGCGAGTGAATGACTGAATGAGTGAGTGGTTGAGTGGTGAGTAAGTGAATGACTGAATGAGTGGGTGAGTGGTGAGTGAGTGAATGACTAAATGAGTGGGTGAGTGGTGAGTGAGCGAGTGACTGAATGAGTGGGTGAGTGAGTGGTTGAGTGGTGAGCGAGTGAATGACTGAAGGAGTGGGTGAGTGGTGAGTGAGCGAGTGAATGACTGAATGTGTGGGTGAGTGAGTGGTGAGCGAGTGAATGACTGAAGGAGTGGGTGAGTGAGTGGTGAGCGAGTGAATGACTGAATGTGTGGGTGAGTGAGTGGTGAGCGAGTGAATGACTGAATGTGTGGGTGAGTGAATGACTGAATGAGTGGATGAGTGAGTGGTGAGTGAGCGAGTGAATGACTGAATGTGTGGGTGAGTGGTGAGCGAGTGAATGACTGAATGAGTGGGTGAGTGAGTGAGCGAGTGAATGACTGAAGGAGTGGGTGAGTGAGTGAGCGAGTGAATGACTGAATGTGTGGGTGAGTGAGTGGTGAGCGAGTGAATGACTGAAGGAGTGGGTGAGTGAGTGAGCGAGTGAATGACTGAATGTGTGGGTGAGTGAGTGGTGAGTGAGCGAGTGAATGACTGAATGTGTGGGTGAGTGAGTGAATGACTGAATGTGTGGGTGAGTGGGTGAGCGAGTGAATGACTGAATGTGTGAGTGAGTGAGCGAGTGAATGACTGAATGTGTGGGTGAGTGGTGAGTGAGCGAGTGAATGACTGAATGAGTGGGTGAGTGGTGAGCGAGTGAATGACTGTGTGGGTGAGTGGTGAGCGAGTGAATGACTGTGTGGGTGAGTGAGTGGTGAGTGAGCGAGTGAATGACTGAATGAGTGAGTGGTGAGTGAGCGAGTGAATGACTGAATGTGTGGGTGAGTGAGTGAGCGAGTGAATGACTGTGTGGGTGAGTGAGTGGTGAGTGAGCGAGTGAATGACTGAATGAGTGGGTGAGTGGTGAGTGAGCGAGTGAATGACTGAATGAGTGGGTGAGTGGTGAGTGAGCGAGTGAATGACTGAATGAGTGGGTGAGTGGTGAGTGAGCGAGTGAATGACTGAATGTGTGGGTGAGTGAGTGAGCGAGTGAATGACTGAATGTGTGGGTGAGTGAGTGAGCGAGTGAATGACTGTGTGGGTGAGTGAGTGAGCGAGTGAATGACTGTGTGGGTGAGTGAGTGGTGAGTGAGCGAGTGAATGACTGAATGAGTGGGTGAGTGAGTGTCTCTCTCCGTTCGTTTATCTGTCTCTCTCAGTGTCTCTGTCTGTCTCTCTCAGTGTCTCTGTCTGTCTCTCAGTGTCTGACTCCATCTGTCTCTCCGTGTGTCTCCGTCTGTCTCTCTCAGTGTCTCTGTCTCTCTCTCAGTGTCTGTCTCCATCTGTCTGTGTGTGTCTCCGTCTGTCTGTGTGTCTGTGTCTCTCAGTGTCTGTGTGTCTGTCTCTGTGTCTCCCCGTGTGTCCGTGTGTCTCTGTGTGTCTGTCTCTCTCTGTGTGTCTGTGTCTCTGTCTCTCGGTGTCTCTGTGTGTCTGTCTCCGTGTCTCCCCGTGTGTCCGTGTGTCTCCCCGTGTGTCCGTGTGTCTCTGTGTGTCTGTCTCTCTCTGTGTCTCTGTCTCTCGGTGTCTGTGTCTCTGTGTGTCTCTGTCTCTCGGTGTCTGTGTCTCTGTGTGTCTGCGTCTCTGTGTCTCTATATGCATCTCTGTGCGTCTCTGTGCGTCTCTATGTCTCACTCTGTGTCTCTCTGTCTGTGTGTCTCTCTGTCTGTGTCTCTATGTGTCTGTGTGTCTCTCTGTGTCTCTCTCTCTCTCTGTGTCTGTGTGTCTCTTTCTGTGTCTCTCTGTGTCTGTGTGTCTCTGTGTGTGTCTGTGTGTCTCTGTGTGTGTCTCTGTGTGTGTCTGTGTGTGTGTCTCTGTCCGTACCTTCGGACCCCCAGGAGAAGTTTCCATTGTCCAGCCTCAGCGCCCGGAACTTCTTATTACCACCACGCACTCGGAGAACGTGAACACGCTTCACCCCCAGCTAGACAGACACCATCACACATTTAGTATGTAGTGTAGTAGGTAGTGTACTAGTGTAGTGTACTAGTGTAGTATGTAGTGTACTAGTGTAGTCTTATTACCACCACGCACTCGGAGAACGTGAACACGCTTCACACCCAGCTAGACAGACACCATCACACATTTAGTATGTAGTGTAGTAGGTAGTGTACTAGTGTAGTATGTAGTGTATAATGTAGTGTACTAGTGTAGTCTTATTACCACCACGCACTCGGAGAACGTGAACACGCTTCACCCCCAGCTAGACAGACACCATCACACAGACACATTTAGTATGTAGTGTAGTATGTAGTGTACTAGTGTAGCACGTAGTGTATAATGTAGTGTACTAGTGTAGTCTTATTACCACCACGCACTCGGAGAACGTGAACACGCTTCACACCCAGCTAGACAGACACTGTCACACAGACACACTTAGTATGTAGTGTAGTAGGTAGTGTAGTATGTAGTGTACTAGTGTAGTATGTAGTGTACTAGTGTAGTATGTAGTGTAGTATGTAGTGTACTAGTGTAGTATGTAGTGTAGTATGTAGTGTACTAGTGTAGTATGTAGTGTACTAGTGTAGTATGTAGTGTAGTATGTAGTGTACTAGTGTAGTATGTAGTGTACTAGTGTAGTATGTAGTGTACTAGTGTAGTGTACTAGTGTAGTATGTAGTGTAGTATGTAGTGTACTAGTGTAGTATGTAGTGTACTAGTGTAGTGTACTAGTGTAGTATGTAGTGTAGTAGTGTAGTATGTAGTGTAGTAGTGTAGTGTACTAGTGTAGTATGTAGTGTACTAGTGTAGTGTACTAGTGTAGTGTGTAGTGTACTAGTGTAGTATGTAGTGTAGTATGTAGTGTACTAGTGTAGTAGGTAGTGTAGTATGTAGTGTACTAGTGTAGTATGTAGTGTACTAGTGTAGTATGTAGTGTACTAGTGTAGTGTACTAGTGTAGTATGTAGTGTAGTATGTAGTGTACTAGTGTAGTATGTAGTGTACTAGTGTAGTATGTAGTGTAGTATGTAGTGTACTAGTGTAGTATGTAGTGTAGTATGTAGTGTACTAGTGTGGTATGTAGTGTACTAGTGTAGTATGTAGTGTACTAGTGTAGTATGTAGTGTACTAGTGTAGTATGTAGTGTACTAGTGTAGTAGGTAGTGTAGTATGTAGTGTACTAGTGTAGTTTGTAGTGTACTAGTGTAGTATGTAGTGTAGTAGTGTAGTATGTAGTGTACTAGTGTAGTATGTAGTGTACTAGTGTAGTATGTAGTGTAGTATGTAGTGTACTAGTGTAGTATGTAGTGTACTAGTGTAGTATGTAGTGTAGTAGTGTGGTGTAGTATGTAGTGTAGTATGTAGTGTACTAGTGTAGTATGTAGTGTACTAGTGTAGTATGTAGTGTAGTAGTGTAGTATGTAGTGTACTAGTGTAGTATGTAGTGTGCTAGTGTAGTATGTAGTGTACTAGTGTAGTATGTAGTGTACTATGTAGTATAGTAGTGTAGTATGTGTAGTGTATAATGTAGTGTAGTAGTGTATAATGTAGTGTAGTAGTGTATAATGTAGTGTAGTAGTGTACAATGTAGTGTATAATGTAGTGTATAATGTAGTGTAGTAGTGTATAATGTAGTGTAGTAGTATATAATGTAGTAGTATATGATGTCGTGTACTAGTGTATAATGTAATGTATAATGCAGTGTAGTAGTGTATAATGTAGTGTACTAGTGTATAATGTAGTATAGTAGTGTATGATGTAGTGTATAATGTAGTGTAGTAGTGTATAATGTAGTGTATAATGTAGTGTTGTAGTATATAATGTAGTATATAATGTAATGTAGTAGTGTATAATGTAGTGTAGTAGTGTATAATGTAGTGTAGCAGTGTATAATGTAGTGGAGTAGTGTATAATGTAGTATATAATGTAGTGTAGTAGTATATAATGTAGTTTAGTAGTGTATAATGTAGTGTATAATGTAGTATATAATGTAGTAGTGTATAATGTAGTGTTGTAGTATATAATGTACTGTAGTAGTATATGTAGTGTAGTAGTGTATAGTGTAGTAGTATATGATGTAGTGTAGTAGTATATGATGTAGTGTATAATGTAGTGTAATGCAGTGTATAATGTAGTATATAATGTAGTTTAGTAGTATATGATGTAGTGTACAATGTAGTGTATAATGTAGTGTAGTAGTGTATAATGAGGTGTAGTAGTATATAATCTAGTGTATAATGTAGTATATAATGTAGTATATAATGTAGTGTGGTAGTGTATGATGTAGTGTAGTGTATAATGTAGTGTATAATGTAGTACATAATGTAGTGTAGTAGTATATGATGTAGTGTATAATGTAGTACATAATGTAGTGTAGTAGTATATGATGTAGTGTATAATGTAGTGTATAATGTAGTATATAATGTAGTAGTATATAATGTAGTGTATAAAGTAGTGTATAATGTAGTGTATAATGTAGTGTATAAAGTAGTGTATAATGTAGTGTATAATGTAGCGTACTACCTTGGTGTTTGCCGGTGGACGTCCTAGCTCGTATTTTCTCTTCTTGTGCAGGGGCTTGCGTTTGCCTCCTGTCTTGCGGCGTTTGTGCCAAGTGTCTCTAGAGATACCTGCACACAGACAGGGTGTAGATAGACACAGAGATACACACACAGAGATAGACACACACAGACACACGCAGAGATAGACACAGATATAGACACACACAGAGATAGACACGGAGATAGACACACACAGTCAGAGATAGACACAGAGATAGACACGCAGCGATACACACACACAGACACATAGAGATAGACACAGAGATAGACACACACAGACACACAGATAGACACACACAGAGATAGACACGCAGAGATAGACACAGAGATACGCACAGACGTACACACAGAGATAGACACGCAGAGATAGACACACACAGAGATCGACACACAAGCAGAGAGACAAACAGACATAAATAGACACAGACAGTGTCATCAACGCCACCAGGATATATCACTGCTGGATTGGAAATTAATGTGATGGTGATGTCTCAACCCTCTCTCTGTCATCACTACACTACTACACTATACACTACACTGTACACTACTACACTATACACTACACTATACACCACTACACTATACACTACTACACTATTACACTACTACACTAACCACTACTACACTATACACTACTACATTATACACTACACACTACCACACTACTACACTAACCACTACTACACTAACCACTACTACACTATATACTACTACACTATACACTACTACACACTACTACACTATACACTACACACTACTACACTATACACTACACACTACTACACTACAATACTACTACACTATACACTACTACACTATATACTACTACACTATACACTACTACACTATACACCACTACTACACTATACACTACTATACACTTATCACACACTGCTACACTACGCTATACACAACTACACTATACACCACTACACTATAAACTACTACACACCACACTATATTTCTACACTATACACGATAATATACACTACCACTCTATACACTACTACACTGTACACTACTACACTATATACACTATACACCACTACACTATACACTACTACACTATATACTACTATACACTACTACACTATACACTACTACTACACTATACACTACTACACAGTAGCAGCTCAGTGTTAGGACCTTACACCTGGTAACATACAACGCAGTTTAGTTTTTGTATGGGTCTCTGGGGGACTCTGTATCTGGGGGTGTCTATGGGTCTCTGTGATGGGTCTGTGAGTTTCTCTGTATCTGTGGGTCTCTGAGTATGGTTCTGTGGGTCTATGTATCTCTGTGGGTCTCTATGCATCTCTGTGGGTGTCTGAGTATGGTTCTGTGGGTCTATGTATCTCTGTGGGTCTCTATGCATCTCTCAGGGTGTCTTGAGTATGGTTCTGTGGGTCTATGTATCTCTGTGGGTCTCTATGCATCTCTCAGGGTGTCTTGAGTATGGTTCTGTGGGTCTATGTATCTCTGTGGGTCTCTATGCATCTCTCAGGGTGTCTTGAGTATGGGTCTATGTATCTCTGTGGGTCTCTATGCATCTCTGTGGGTCTCTGAGTATGGTTCTGTGGGTCTATGTATCTCTGTGGGTCTCTATGCATCTCTGTGGGTGTCTGAGTATGGGTCTGTGGGTCTATGTATCTCTGTGGGTCTCTATGCATCTCTGTGGGTGTCTGAGTATGGTTCTGAGGGTCTATGTATCTCTGTGGGTCTCTATGCATCTCTGTGGGTCTCTGAGTATGGTTCTGTGGGTCTATGTATCTCTGTGGGTCTCTATGCATCTCTGTGGGTGTCTGAGTATGGGTCTGTGGGTCTATGTATCTCTGTGGGTCTCTATGCATCTCTGTGGGTGTCTGAGTATGGTTATGTGGGTCTATGTATCTCTGTGGGTCTCTATGCATCTCTCAGGGTGTCTTGAGTATGGTTCTGTGGGTCTATGTATCTCTGTGGGTCTCTATGCATCTCTGTGGGTGTCTGAGTATGGTTCTGTGGGTCTATGTATCTCTGTGGGTCTCTATGCATCTCTCAGGGTGTCTTGAGTATGGTTCTGTGGGTCTATGTATCTCTGTGGGTCTCTATGCATCTCTCTGGGTGTCTGAGTATGGGTCTATGTATCTGTGGGTGTCTGTGTGTCCGTGTATCTCTGTGGGTGTCTGAGTATGGGTCTGTGGGTCTAAGTATCTCTGTAGGTGTCTGTGAGTCTCTCTATGTATCTCTGTGGGTGTCTGTGTCTATATCTCTGTGTGTGTCTGAGTATGGGTCTGTGTGTATCTCTGTGGGTCTCTACACATCTCTGTGGGTGTCTGAGTATGGGTCTGTGGGTCTCTATGTATCTCTGTGGGTCTATGTATCTGTGTATCTCTGTGGGTGTCTGAGTATGGGTCTGTGTGTCTATGTATCTCTGTGGGTGTCTGAGTATGAGTCTGTGTCTATGTATCTCTGTGAATGTCTGTAAGTATGGTTCTGTGTGTCTCTACACGTGTCCGTGTCTCTATGTATCCACCACCACCACCCATCAACTAATAAGCCCGGCACGAACACGGCCATAAATCTTCCCCAACCAAGGCCCACCACCACCACAACCACCATCACAACAACAAAACCCCCATTCAAACATCATCCGGCAAAACAACCACCACCACCACCATGGGGCAACATCCTCATCCCTCCCTCCCCGCCACCATCAACTAACAAATATCGCCGGGATCGGGCGGAGATGATGATGAAGATGACGATGATGAAGGCGGCGGGGATGAGGGAGGCTCGGCCGATGGAGGATGGTTGCGGATCGTGCTGTGGTTGGCGGTGGTGAGAACGGCAACGCATGGCGGACATACAATACGGACCGCCTCAAATCACCCTCCCCTCAGCCTCCTCCTCATCCTCTCTCCGCCGCCATCGACTAACAAAAATATCGCCGGGCTCAGGCGCAGATGATGAAGATGACGATGAAGACGCCGGGGTCTCTGAGGGAGCCTCCGCGAGAGAGGATGGCTGCGGATTGTGTTGTGGTTAGCGGCGGTGAGAGAAACAACCCATGGCGGACATGCATACAGAGCGCCTCAAATCACCCCACCCTCCCCTCCCCTCAGCCTCCTCCTCCTCTCTCTCAGCCATCATCGACTAACAAAAATATCGCCGGGCTCAGGCGGAGATGATGAAGATGACGATGAAGACGGCGGGGTCTCTGAGGGAGCCTCCGCGAGGGAGGATGGCGGCGGATTACGCGGCGGTGGTGGTGGAGATGGCGTGGGACTCACCCATGGCGGCTGCTGATGGCGGTTGAAAGAGAGAGAGAGAGGGTGGGGGAGGGAGGGCGGAAGGTGACGCGCGCGGGATTCTGGGTACGGGGGGGAGGGGGCGGGGCGAAGAGAGGGAGGCGGGGCGAAGGGATGCGGGACTGCAGTGGATAGAGAAGGGAGGAGGGCGGGGCGAAGGGAGGAGGGCGGGGCGAAGGGAGGGGGGGGCGGGGCGAAGAGAGAGGGGCGGGTCGAAGGGATGCGGGACTGCAGTGGATAGAGCGGAGGAGGGCGGGGCGAAGGGAGGAGGGCGGGGCGAAGGGAGGGGCGGGGCGAAGAAAGGGGCGGGGCGAAGAGAGAGGGGCGGGTCGAAGGGATGGGGGGGACTGCAGGGGATAAGAGAGGAGGGCGGGGCGAAGGGAGGGGGCGGAGCGAAGGGAAGGGGAGGCAGGGGAAGGCAGTGCCTCACCTGTCAGCCGTCACGTCTGCCTCACAGTGAGGACACGCCCCCCCCACCTCAGTGAGGACACGCCCCCTTCCGTGAGGCCACGCCCCCCCACCTCCACTACGTCACTTTACCATCACTACGTCACTTTACCATCACTACGTCACTTTACCATCACCATCACTACGTCACTTTACCATCACTACGTCACTTTATCATCATCACTACGTCACTTTACCATCACCATCACTACGGCACTTTACCATCACCATCACTACGTCACTTTACCATCACCATCACTACGTCACTTTACCATCATCACCACGTCACTTTACCATTACCATCACTACGTCACTTTACCATCACTACGTCACTTTACCATCACTACGTCACTTTACCATCATCACATACGTCACTTTACCATCACTACGTCACTTTACCATCACTACGTCACTTTACTATCACCACCACTACGTCACTTTACCATCACCATCACTACGTCACTTTACCACCACTACGTCACTTTACCATCACCATCACCACGTCACTTTACCATCACTACGTCACTTTACCATCACTACGTCACTTTATCATCACCATCACTACGTCACTTTACCATCACTACGTCACTTTACCATCATCACCACGTCACTTTACCATCACTACGTCACTTTACCATCACTACGTCACTTTACCATCATCACTACGTCACTTTACCATCATCACTACGTCACTTTACCATCACTACGTCACTTTACCATCATCACTACGTCACTTTACCATCATCACTACGTCACTTTACCATCACTACGTCACTTTACCATCACTACGTCACTTTACCATCACCATCACTACGTCACTTTACCACCACTACGTCACTTTACCATCATCACTACGTCACTTTACCATCATCACTACGTCACTTTACCATCATCACTACGTCACTTTACCATCACTACGTCACTTTACCATCACCATCACTACGTCACTTTACCATCACTACGTCACTTTACCATCATCACTACGTCACTTTACCACCACTACGTCACTTTACCATCACCACTACGTCACTTTACCATCACCACTACGTCACTTTACCATCACTACGTCACTTTACCATCACCACGTCACTTTACCATCACCATCACTACGTCACTTTACCATCACTACGTCACTTTACCATCCCTACGTCACTTTACCATCATCACTACGTCACTTTACCATCACTACGTCACTTTACCATCACCATCACTACGTCACTTTACCATCACTACGTCACTTTACTATCACTACGTCACTTTACCATGACTATGTCACTTTACCATCACTACGTCACTTTACCATCACCATCACTACGTCACTTTACCATCATCACTACGTCACTTTACCATCACTACGTCACTTTACCATCACTACGTCACTTTACCATCACCATCACTACGTCACTTTACCATCACTACGTCACTTTACCATCACTACGTCACTTTACCATCACTACGTCACTTTACCATCACCACCACTACGTCACTTTACCATCACCACGTCACTTTACCATCACTACGTCACTTTACCATCACCATCACTACGTCACTTTACCATCACTACGTCACTTTACCATCACTACGTCACTTTACCACCACTACGTCACTTTACCATCACTACGTCACTTTACCATCACTACGTCACTTTACCATCATCACTACGTCACTTTACCATCACTACGTCACTTTACCATCACCATCACTACGCCACTTTACCATCACTACGTCACTTTACCATCATCACTACGTCACTTTACCACCACTACGTCACTTTACCATCACCACTACGTCACTTTACCATCACCACTACGTCACTTTACCATCACTACGTCACTTTACCATCACCACGTCACTTTACCATCACCATCACTACGTCACTTTACCATCACTACGTCACTTTACCATCATCACTACGTCACTTTACCATCATCACTACGTCACTTTACCACCACTACGTCACTTTACCATCACCACTACGTCACTTTACCATCACTACGTCACTTTACCATCATCACTACGTCACTTTACCATCACTACGTCACTTTACCATCACCATTACTACGTCACTTTACCATCACTACGTCACTTTACCATCATCACTACGTCACTTTACCACCACTACGTCACTTTACCATCACCACTACGTCACTTTACCATCACCACTACGTCACTTTACCATCACTACGTCACTTTACCATCACCACGTCACTTTACCATCACCATCACTACGTCACTTTACCATCACTACGTCACTTTACCATCCCTACGTCACTTTACCATCATCACTACGTCACTTTACCATCACTACGTCACTTTACCATCACCATCACTACGTCACTTTACCATCATCACTACGTCACTTTACCATCACTACGTCACTTTACCATCACCACCACTACGTCACTTTACCATCACCACGTCACTTTACCATCACTACGTCACTTTACCATCACCATCACTACGTCACTTTACCATCACTACGTCACTTTACCATCATCACTACGTCACTTTACCATCATCACTACGTCACTTTACCACCACTACGTCACTTTACCACCACTACGTCACTTTATTGTTTCCCTTCTACGTGGTGGTGACTTTACCCAAAGAACCAAGAATAATAATTGTATTGTTTTATATTTTTATTATTTTATTGTTTCCCTATCTACGTGGTGGTGACTTTACCCAAAGAACCAAGAATAATAATTTTATTGTTTTATATTTTTATTATTTTATTGTTTCCCTATCTACGTGGTGGTGACTTTACCCAAAGAACCAAGAATAATAATTGTATTGTTTTATATTTTTATTATTTTATTGTTTCCCTATCTACGTGGTGGTGACTTTACCCAAAGAACCAAGAATAATAATTTTATTGTTTTATATTTTTATTATTTTATTGTTTCCCTTCTACGTGGTGGTGACTTTACCCAAAGAACCAAGAATAATAATTTTATTGTTTTATATTTTTATTATTTTATTGTTTCCCTATCTACGTGGTGGTGACTTTACCCAAAGAACCAAGAATAATAATTGTATTGTTTTATATTTTTATAATTTTATTGTTTCCCTTTTACGTGGTGACTTTACCGAAAGAACCAAGAATAATAATTGTATTGTTTTATATTTTTATTATTTTATTGTTTCCCTTCTACGTGGTGGTGACTTTACCCCCAAAGAACCAAGAATAATAATTTTTTTGTTTTACATTTTTATTATTTTATTGTTTCCCTTCTACGTGGTGGTGACTTTACCCAAAGAGCTAATTATCTTTTTCTGTATTGTTCACGATGGTGCAATTTGTTAAATTGCCTCGCAAATCAACGCTTTGCTGTTACGTTACATTTATGGCTTTTATTTTGGTGATTTCGAAAACGTTTTTTTTGGGGGGGGGGTTTTGGCCATGTTTTTGTTTATTGTAGTACCGAGTTAGACGGATGGCCTTAATCTTAAGTTGTCTTGTGGTTGTTGTTGGTGTACACGGTGGTAATTCAGGAATATTTTGATGAGGTTTTTTCATCCTGGATTTTTCTGTTTGCACAGTCACACAAAGCCACTCTAAGATAGTTTTCTTGTTCGTGTTTTATGTTTTGTTGCTGTTGCTCGCCCGATTCAAGAGCCGAATGGCTCACAGGGGCTACACCAACATAAATGAACTAACTATGAAACTGTGAAGTTTAACACGTAGCCATTCTGGCGAATTGCCCGATGATGATGATGATGCTGGTGATGTATTTACCAGCGAAACGTCACACCACAACTCAAACTGTAAATGTTGTGGATTCACTCTTCAACACACCGGTGGGCTAAAGTTAGTGAATTATTATTTTTGTGTCTTTTGTCAACGTGACAATTTTTTTTTGCTGATTGGCCGTGTCGGGTGGTGGAGGGTCACGACACATTTATAAATCACGCCATCTAACCCCACCAAAAAAAACCTTTATTATGAGTACTAATACTATATGTCTATAGTACTAGAGTAATAGTACTATAGTACTAATACTATATGTCTACCCACAGCCACTGTACTCCACTAGGATCTCTGCTTCCCACATCGCTATAGTACTACTATAGTAATAGTACTATAGTGCTATAGTACTAATACTATAGTACTATAGTACTAATACTATATGTCTATAGTACTAAAGTAATAGTACTATAGTACTAATACTATATGTCTATAGTACTAAAGTAATAGTACTATAGTACTAATACTATATGTCTATAGTACTAATACTATAGTACTATAGTACTAGTACTATAGTACTAATACTATAGTACTATAGTACCAATACTTTACCATTCTGGCGAATTTCCCGACGATGATGATGCTGGTGATGTATTTACCAGCGAAACGTCACACCACAACTCAAACTGTAAATGTTGTGGATTCACTCTTCAACACACCGGTGGGCTAAAGTAGTGAATTATTATTTTTGTGTCTTTTGTCAACGTGACAATTTGTTTTTTGCTGATTGACCGTGTCGGGTGGTGGAGGGTCACGACACATTTATAAATCACGCCATCTAACCCCACCAAAAAAAACCCTTTATTATAAGTACTAATACTATATGTCTATAGTACTAGAGTAATAGTACTATAGTACTATAGTAGTACTATTACTATAG